AAGGGAAGGCTTAACCTTTACGGCACCCCCAGCCACAGCCGCCCCTGCCCTCCCTCCTCATCCCCCACAGCTCCTGAAGACATCCAAGGAGCACGGGAACGTAAGGTCCGTGCTTCACAGGGCACGCACAAAGTCCCCTCCGCTAACATACACCGATCGACCCGCACGAAGAAACGTGGCATCAAAACCAACTCTGGTGCCTGAACAGAGCTGGAATTCTACGGGAGTCACTCGGATGCTTTATAAATGGAAATTGCGTGGAGAACAATTCATTCAGTAGGTCACTCGGGAGATTTTTCAGAACAGAAACAAGAAAGGGTTTCTTGTGAAAGCCGCGAAGAGACGAAGGGAAGGGGGACAGAAGGCAGGAAACACAAAAGGAGAGATGCAGCAAGCTATCCTGCAGGTGCCCAATTAATCCCAGTCAGAGAGCGGCTCCAGTTCCTGTCCAGCCATCAGAATAGCGCTCTCTTACAGAGCACAAGATTGCAACTTTGCATAACCAGGGACTGAATGTAAATTACTGGCTCGGTTGATACATAAATTGTCGACTGTTCCCTTCTATTTCATCGGATCCAGCAGAGACAATTATGAATACAGGCCTCCTGCCCTTTAGGATGATTAACATTCCCTTTCGTTAGTGTCCCCAACACTGCTGACCCACATTCAACTTGTGAAATTCAGTTCTATGTAAGCTGCAATGTTCTGTGTCAGCAGTATGTGCCAGACCGTCCGAGCCAGGCGCGCACAGCACACGCTCTCCTCCTCGCTGTAAATAAACGCAGTCCTCAGTTTCAAAACGGCTAGAGAAACCCCGGCCCGCTAACACGGGAACAGGCACCAGGCTGTTCTCTGCTTTGCTTTTTTAGGGAAAAGGGGACGCGAGCCAGGAATGCTCGAGCTGTTATCTTCAGATGGCGTGTCAAAGTCCGCTTGACCTGGTAAACGTCCATCCATAGGAAAGGAAAACAGACTCCTCCATCGCCTCATCGGCAGGCCGCCTCTGCATTCAGGAGCAGCAACGAAGGCAAGCCTTCGAGGCTGCTAATTTCACCTTCCGGAAAAGGTCTAAAGGGACAGGGTACAACACATTTTTAAGCTCACACGGACGTTCGCGCTGGAATTCCTTTCGAGACATCAGACGAGCGTGGTTCCCAAGGAGGGGCCGTGACGAGCAAACCAGCTTTTCTCTAAGAGAATGTGACACGGGGTCAAGTTTGCGCAGGGATTTGGTGGCTATATTTGAACGCTGCCTGATTCTTCCACGCAGCTACCACTGGAAGAGATCACCTCAGGAAGGGGCTGCCAGCAGGCTCAGCAATTGGGCTGCGTTTGCCGCCCGCGATGAAAGAATGCTTTCAGATCCCTGAATGGGACCATTTTGCCACGGCTTTACTTTCGCCTAAGTCACTTCCATTAAGTCCAACTATTAAAAGTAGTACCGTGGTGAAAATAAGCTCTCGCTAGCACGCTCTTGTATTCCCACGGCCATTCAAAAAAGCCGTCCCATACAGATCCACCCTTTCCAACGCGTTTCACCCCAATGCCTCCCCTCCCAGAGCAGCTCCTCTCTCCTTCCCCGCTCCTCTCCCAGAGCCAGCGGCGACGGCCCCCTCGGCCAAGGAAAGAGTATCGAAACAACGGTGCTCAGGGCTTGCAGGCCAAAAACAATCCATTTGCTGGCACTCCTCTTCACGGGCTGGGATTTGAAAGGAAACCTGACCTCAGAGCTGAGAAAGCTTCCCGGTCAAGTTTCAGCTCCCAGCTATTCCAGCTCAGCCTCCCAGGCACCGGCGCCGCCGAACAGAGGGCACTTGTTCCAGCGCAGGTATTGCCCCAGGCTCGGAGAGCGCTCGGGGCTCAGGGGGATCGCATCTCCCCCGGCAGCGCAGGGAGACGAGCAAGCACACCAAACCCGCCCCGGCAGCAACTCGCAGGCTCCAGCAGGCCCAGCGGCGGAGGCAGCTACCGAATCTACCATCCCACCAGAAAAGAGCTTCCTAAAGCCAACAAACCACCCTCGGCCGCTTCACGGCAGCAGGAACGAGCGTCAACTGCGGCTTAGCAAAGCATGAGTTTTTCAAGCTTAGCGTCCTCTTCCATCATCCACAGACAACCCATAAAATCCAGCCTCAGCCCTGTGGACGTTGAACAGCGTTTCAAGGCAAAATTTGTGCATGTTTTGCTGCTCTTCAGAAAAAAAAAATTAAAAATCAACTATTCTCATGCAAAAGACGGTCTCCACTTCAGCGTTTCGCGACCTTCAGAGTTAGCGCCGCTCAAAAGAGACCTCGACTCAACGAGGGAGGCCGAAAACAGGAACGGGGCAAGTGGCTACAGGAGAGATCTCTCCTCAAGAGGAGCCGTCTCCTGCATTTGAAGCACCTGAACTCACCGCCCCTGCTTCTGCATCAGCAAAGCCCAGCTTTATAATGGGGAAACCAAGGGCCAAGCCTCGCACAAAACAGCGGCAGCTGAAGCGCAAGCCGGGTTGTGGCACCCGGCGCTTGAAGGCACAGAGGCGGATGTCAACTCTACACGAGACAGGCAAATGCAGCCCAATTCTGAAGAGAACCGTCCAGGACGGTGTTAAGCAACCGATTTTTAACTGAAATTAATTTCACTTCGCTATCTAGGCCAAAAGCCAGCGCTCCAACAAACAAAAGTAACTTTGGATTTGCACTAACCTTTCGAGATAAGGTAACCCTTGAAATTTACAGGAGGACGAGGAAAGCAATCAAGCCAACACCTTCACGGCCTCCACCTGCGGCGCTTCCAGGGCACTGTAGGGTAGCCCAGGGCAGGGCGGTCGCGGAGGCGAGCGGGATTTCGTCAAGGCCCGTCCGCTCCCCGCTGCCTTCCCAACCCCACTTCTGCTTCCACCGCAATTTGCAAGTTTCTGGAGGAGACTCTGCCGGCAGCAGCCCGCGCC